GTATATGTTTAAAAATGTATCTGTCTTTCCCTTGTCGCCCAGCCACCCAGTTCCATCTCTTGGACAAGAGCAGAGTCACTGGTCTCTTTTGTCCTCTTCCTGGAACAGTCTGTGCATTTATGCACACATTCATAAATGTAAATATGTATTACTTTTTCAGAAAATGAAGTGCTCTGTACTCTATCTGCTGTTTTGTCCTTTGCAAACCCTTTAACATCATATCTTAGAGAAATTTTCCATCCTTACATGTGGAGATGCTTCATTGAAAAAAAAAAAAAAGAAAAAGATCATGGCAGTTGCAGGTTTCGATAGCATGGAAGGACCATGATTTATTTAATCAATGCTTTATTTATGGGCACATCACCTAAAGGCACTTATCCCAAACCTTTTCACACCTAATTTTGATTTCTGCTCTGCAACTTACCTAGTAATGAGTTTGTCATATTGAATCTTTCCTTATACAACCAACCCCAGAAGGAAGAGTCCACTTAAAACAATGTTTTTAACTGTTTTTGTTGCTGTTAATAAAAACTCCAAACATTTCTACAGTTGCTGTGCTTTTCCAATGTCTGATCTGAGGACTTAGCAAGAATGGAGTCAGTCATATTTGCTGGTGGATGAGGCCAAGTGACTGTAGAAATAGAAACTAATTTCGGCTCTGTCCCCCCTGACCTACTCTATGACCCTGAACTTTTCTTTCCCATCTCTGATCCTTGGTTTCCTCAACTGTAAAACAAGGAGATAGGGCTAGATCAAGGGTCAGAAAACTTTTCTATAAGGGCCACACAGTATACTAACTTGGCAGGTGATATAGTCACTGTCATGATTACCCAACTCTACTGTGTGGCTTAAGAACAGCCACAGACAGTGTGTAAGTGAATGGGCGTGGGATAGGGTGCTGGTAGGGAAATAATGTCTGTTGAGCATCTTTATGGCAGTTGCTTTTTGAAAATGGGTGAGATTTGGCCTGTGGGTCATAGTTGCTGACCCCAGGGCTAAGGGCATTTCCATTTCTTAGTTTCTATCTATGGATCTGTGAAGAACTTTCCTCTTCTACTTAGGGGAAGGAAAGGGACAAACACCCATCCTAGTGTCCACATTGCTAGGCACTCACTGGGAACCTTATGGAGATCACTTGGAATCCTCCTAGCACTTCCATCGGGTAAGTAATGTGGGAAAACTGAAACTCAGAGTGGTTGTGTACTTGGCTCACTCTCCTCCTTTGGAGCCCCTTTGAGCCTCCTCTTCTCCAGCCTCAACTCTTTTTCAGGTTAGATTAGAAAAGATTCTTAGCAATGCCAACCTCCTGTGGCTGTTCCAAGGATGGACAGAGGAGGTGCCTTAGAGGAGTTCTGGTAGAGGGTGCAGCCAAGTAAAGAGAGGGAACAGAAGAACACTTTGAATGCTGGCAACAGAGGAAGGCAGGGTGGCTGGAGGCCAGTGGTGGGCTGAGGAGAGGAGAGAGAGGGTACTGGATGAGGCCACAGAGACAAGCCCATGGCACAATCCAGTGAAAGTTCTCAAATAATCATTTTGGCTCTTGTGTGGAGAATCAAGCCCTGGCTTGTCTTTACAGAATTTCTTGTTTTACATGAGGGTGATCCATTCATTCATCTGTAAAAGGGGTGGATGGAAAGTGCTTTCCATGATCACAAAGCTTCATTGTGAGTGGAGAGGGAGGCAACCTGGAAACCATGAGGACCTAGATTTGCCAACTCAGAGACCTAGCTTGGTCCCCTCCCAGCTTTATGACCTTGGGCGCTCACACAGACTTTCCCACTTCAAGTTCCTCATCTGCCAAATGTGACTGCTCACCGCCTCACTGCATTTCTGGGTTGCTGCGAATGTTCAATGGGATCGTCTTTGTGAGAGCTCTCTGCAAATGTGAAGTGGGAGTTAATATCATGTTATTGTTGTTATCATTGGCTTATCCTCTGCTGGCTGTGAATGTATTGGAAGGACTGGGTGACCCTCCTCTCTTACTCCTCCTTGTGTTAGAGTTGATTGCCTAGGGCCTGGGGCATTATAAATCCTTCGAAGACCAGATAGCCCCTCCCTTTTTTTTCAATGACCTGGGAGCTGTCTCTTTGAAATGTGAGGGGCAGCCTGACACAGTGGAGGGGATCCTGGAGCTGCGGTCAGATGGTTTGGTTTGTAGCTGTAGGTTGTGCAATCTTGTTACCTCCAATGGCCTGTGTTGTCTGACATGCTTTTATCTTTAATGGAGTCTGTGGCCTGGGCCTCAGGAATAGTATTTTAGCCACCACTGGCTTCCTTCCCCTCTCCAGAAGCCCTTTCATGAACCACCTCTTCCTCCAAGGCTGGGCTAGGAGAACATCTGGAATTCCAGAGCACATAGCCTATTTCCTTGTCACACATCAGGCTCAGAGCTCCTTAAGTCCAAGATCAAGTTTTCTTGGTGTTTGGTGCTTCGCATAGAGTGACAGTCATATCACTGTAACTGGGTGAGTATAGTTCTCCCCGTTGTCAAAGTACAAACTGTTCCTACACATGCCTTTCTTATTAGTGCTGTCAAAGTATGGGTATTAGTATCCTCTTTTGGTAGAAAAGGAAACAGGCTGGGAGTCACATGCCTATTTCACACAGCCAGAGGTGGCTGAGCTGGCAATCAAACTCAGGTTTCTAAGAGCCACGACATTTCACTGCTACGTCCACGCCCACACAAGTTCGCTCAGTGACCTGGTTTTCCCTTCTTGAATCCCATCTATTTTTTAAAGGCAAATGTTTTTTTATTTATGTTAAACTGAATATCAATTATTGTTCCCTGGGCAACCACTTCTTGCTTAAATTACAAGTTAATTTCATGTTAATAAAACAGACGGATCCCATCTTCTTTAGTCTCCTCTGAGCTTGTTATTGTCTGTTAGCTACTCTGGATCCACCCTTCTTGGCCCTCCCTGTGCCCTTGGAGGCTGACCTCAGGGCACACTTGCCAGCTAGGAGCAGAGTGGCCCGAGTTTCTCTCCCTCATCCTCTTCCCTCCGTGCTGTTGGCAGACTTCTGGCTCCCCTTTATCCATACTGCAGGCAGGCCCCTCCTTCACATTGCGTTCCCCTAAATCTCCTTCCTCCTTTTGCCCCTTCAGACCAAGGTTTGGGGACCTGCCTCCCTCTGTTGCTAATCCCCAGGATGCCTCCAGTCCTGGAGGTTTCCTTTAATCCATCTGCATCTCGGCACGTAGACCCTTCTGTGAACCCATTTTCAGTTCTTTAAACAGTCTTCTTTAAACTCTCTTCTTTGAGTGGGCCAGCTGTTTCTTATCAGGACCCCAGTTGCTGCGTGTGCACAGCCTCATCCCCATTTCCTTTCATCTTTCTTCTGACACACCAAGAGTTACATCTCCTGGCCAAACCACAGCTCCAAATGTCTTCGCATGGCCAGTCTCCAAGGAAATTGGTTTAACTATAATGGAAAGTAGTTTTAGCCTTTTCATCTCTTGCGTACCTACAATAGGGCAGACACTCAGCATCTTCCCTCATAGGCTTCCTGTCTAGCCACAGCTCTCATCTCAAACTTTCTTCCATTGGCCCTCTCTGGATTGTGGCATTCCACCCAATGGCCTTCTAGATCAACAGAGGTGCTTTCTGGCTTCTGCCAACATAGGGGACCTCAGACATTGTTTTGGCAGAGGGAGTGTTTCCCTTCAGAAGGCAAGAGAGCGTAGGCTACGGGAGTCACCCAATGTCTTCAAAACAACAGTCTCTTTCTGGATAAAGATGGACAGTGTCCCAGAGTGTCAAGTGGACGCTGTAGCTTGGCTTCCCAGGAAATGGCACCATGGTGATCTTGGGGTCACAGCTTGACCTCTCACGCCCTGCAGTGCTCCTCTAACATGAAACAGCATTTCCTGTTGGCTTGCCTATGTCTACATTTTCTGAATGATGGCATGTGGCCTTGGATGCTGCCGCCTGAATCAGGCACAGTCTGTTTGCTGACCCTGGTGTGTGGTGAAAGTTATACCATGGCCATGGCTTGCTTTCTGTGTCTCTGCTTTGCAGTTGGCCAGCATTGCTTGGAAACCAGTTAAACCAATGGAAAAGCCTATGGAATGTAACACTTGAGACTGAAATTAAACCAGTCACCCACAGATTATGCAAAAGCATTTTTAATAAGGGGCATTACTTGAAAGGCACATTCTTCAGGCTTTAAGGTTTTTGATGTTCCTAGGTCAGTGCTATAAGTTTCTGCATTGACACCTGTATCCTCTCATTGTTCTCTGTAAACCCTATATATATTTTTGAGTAAGGTCCCCCCACAACCTTTCCCTCCCCCAGCAAGACTGAATGATAGACAATCTGGCAAGCAGTTCTTTCTGGAACATTGAAAAAGAATTGTACTGAAGCCAAGCAAGGGGGTTGGTTATATAAATTATAGCACATACATATATAGTAATATAATACAACCATCTATATCCTCATGCTGCTGTGAATTTATTAACAATAAATTTAATTATAACATATTAAGATACTCAAAACAATCCCATATTATTAAAATATATGAAATTATGTATCCCCAAATGTTAACATTTTATAGTGGTTACCTCTATGAGGTTATGGGTAAGGATAATGATCTCCTTTGCCTAATCTGTACTTTCTAACTTTTTTTAATAACCATGTGTTAAGTTATGCAATTTAAAGGGTATGTTGTATTCTTTTCAAAGAACAGTAACATTCCCTACTTATCAGTGCACTGTGGTTATAATTATCTAGAAATATGAGGCTTGAGGTTGTTCCCACACAAACATAAAAGGGGACAATTCATTCCCTGGAAGTACTAAGAACAAACACCCCTCCACCCCTCCCTCACATTCTGCATTTCCTTTGTATGTTGAGGCAAGGGAGGGAAGGAGGGTGATGGATCAGGGAGCCCAACCCAGGGCTTCCTCAGCTTGCAGATCTATCCACACTGACCAGGGCTGTATAGGCTAAACTGCCTGCAGGGGTCTGCTGATCCCCAGGGAAGCTCCAGGTCTTGCTTACCTGGAACACACAGGCTTCTCCTTGGGTTCTGAGCTGGCCAACAAGCAGGTAGGCGGTGAGTCCTGCCAGGATGGGGAGTGACACCAGGCAACAGGTGAGAGCCCAGCCGGAGCTGCTGGCCCTGGCTGCCAGCCTAGCTCTGGCCTTGGGCCTGCAGCTGTCATCCTCGGGCAGCATTTCCACGCTGGCTGTCTCCCCAAAGCCCAGCCCCAGGTCCTCTGCCATGCTCTGGCTGGTCCTGGAGACAGAGCTGACTCCTCTTGCGCAGGGAGACCCCCCCATTAAATAGAAGACCAGCTCTCACAGTGTGTGAATCAATCACTGCCTACTCCTCCCCCTGGCCTCTCCTCTCCCCTCCACAGCATACTGAGCCCCGCCCTGTTAGGGAATGCACCGCCTACAACAGAAACCAAAGTTTGGTTTAAGGAAAAAAAAAAAAGAAGAAGAAGAAAGCTTCCCAAACATATTTATATACAGTGTGCTCATGTGCTCCTTCTCTCGCTGACAGAAGGAAGTCAGGAAAGTCCCTGGAGGAGGAGAAAAATAATTTATCAAGTCAGTGGGTGGGGCACATTACAATATACCTGTTTCTGTGGTGGAGGCCTGCCAGCTGTGCTAGTCTGAAGCGTGCTTCTGCTGGAAGTGAAAGTGAGGGATGGGGAGGTGTGGCCACGGCTTGCAGACTGGGAAATGGAAATCAGGTTTGCTTCACCACTGCGCAAAGTGCTGCCAAGCTCTCCATCTGTTTTGAGCTTCATAGGAGCCCATTCCCATTTCGCAGATGAGAATACCGCAGTTCTGGAAGGTAAAGGCATGTGTCCTAGGTTATCCCGGGATTCAGGCAGAGGAGTGAGGAAGATGATCTAGTTCTTCTAAATCATGCTTTGGGGTTCTTGCCTCTAGCACACAACTCCCTGGGAAAGGAAAGTGTATTTCTAGTCTGTGTTGACCAATTGTCTAAGCAAAGAGTATGAGGTCACATTATTGACTGTCTGTGAGGAGAGGATATTGACTTCTACTCTCTGATTAGTCCTCAGCTGATTGAGCACCAGTGATAGGCCTTGCCCAGAGTTGGGTGTATATGGGGGCCATAACATATAATAAAGGTGAACATTTATTAAACCTTTGCTTTGTACTAGTGACTCTCTGAAGTGAGTTCAATGTATCAGTGAAATGATTCAATCCTAAGATAACCTTTTGATGCAGTAATGTTATTATTCCCATTTTGACAGTTAAGGAAATTGAAGCGTAGAGGGTAAGCAGTAAAGCTTGGATTGGGATCCAGGCAGGCTGACTCCACAGCTCCTAACCATTACACTACACTGCACTTGCTGCTGTATAGTGCACGCACAGGGACACCTGCACCTGTTCTACCTAGTAGGGGCCACCCCTTCCATCTGCAGGAGGGGAAAGCTTCCTGGAGAAAGAGGTGGTGCTGGAATTAGACCTTGAAGCTTAGGGAGGTGGATATTGGAGAACAGTAGGGGTTCTCTGCAAAAAAAAAAAAATGCAGAAAGAGAAAGCTTAAGGATGTCTTCTGGCATTTGGTGGAAACCAGTTAGGCTAGCACCTCCATTCAATTGCTTCTTCACTTTATTACTTAGCCTATTATTTTTTTATTGTTTGAAATTTTATTTATGGATCCTTTTTCTGCCCACCGTCACTCCTTCCTGATGTCCAGCATCATCTCTTACTACTTTCCCAAGCTGCCATTCCCTGCAGTGCACTATGGGCCAGCTACTCCGTTGCACATGCTGTTTCCTCCACCGTGAAAGCTTCCAGTCCTTTCTCTTCATATCATCACATGTCCCTATTTTTCAACTTCATGTAAAAAACTTTCCTGCTTTTTCTGGCCTTCCAAGCTTGGGTGAGATGCTCATTTATGTTCTTACCCTATTATTGAATATTTTGTACTAGACTGTGGTTGACTATTTTTTCATGGCCCCTATGAAACCATCAGATCTAAGAGGGCAAGTACTTGATTATATCCCTTCCCTGTGGCTGTAGCACCTAACATAGCAACTGCCACATAATGGACTCTTATCCAACATCTATGGAAATAAGCATCTAACATATTTTCAAAGAATCCCAGTAAATAATGATTCTTATGTCCCTTGGTTATCCATTATTGGTTAACAAGTAGAGTAAGAAACTTTTCTCTGAGATGAAACTAAATTTTTGCTGTTGAACTTTTAAGTACACAATCACATGTAATAACTGATCATCTTGAAGAGATTTACAAATGTGTTCTTAGCCTTATAGTTCTTATTTAGAAAGTTGATGTGGTTGATCAAACCAGGGTCTTAAAAGTAGTAAATGTATGCGCTCAAATGAAGTGTTTCGTATTATCATCCATAATATAAAAAGGCCTTGAAAGGTGGTAAATGCTAAAACACCAAATTGGGCATCTGGAGAGCTGGGTTTTAGTTCCTCTATTCTGTGAGCCTGAGAATTCTAGCAGGCTGTCCCTGCCTTAACGTATCTGGCTACTGCTAATCATGATAACTAAGCTTGATATAATTCTGTTTAAAGTCAGTGTCACTGGATTCTGAATTTGTGCCTGGGAATATCCTTTGGGAAGAGAATAAGTTTTAGGTCATGGACCTAGAGACATAGCTTTGAGATAATTGTAGAGGTAGATTTACATGTAGTTGTAAGAAATAGTACATTACTCAGTTTTTTCCAAAGGTAACTTCTTTCATAAGCATAGTATAATGTCACAACCAAAAAATTGACATTGATGTTGATATTCAGATTCCACCACTTTTATATGCACTCATTTGCATATACATATTTAGTTCTGTGCAGTTTATCACATGTGTAGGTTCCTGAGACCATCACCAATGTTAAGATACAGAAAAGCTCCATCATCAGTATCCCTCACTCTCTGTTTTATAATCACAGCTACCACCCTCTATCTCCTACTCCCTTAACCCTTGGTAACCACTAAGCTGCTCTCTAATTGGATAAATATTGTTTTACAAATGTTATATAGATGGAACCATGCAGTCTATATCCTTTTGAGATTGGCTTTTTTTCACTAAGCATAGATTCCTTGAAGTTCAGCCAAAATTATTGCATGACTAATGGACCACAGTTTGTTTAACTAGTCACCCATTAAAGGACATTTGGGTTATTTCCAGTTTTTTTTTTTTTTTTTTTTGCACATGCTTTTTATTTTCAGTGAGTAGATGATCTCTTTTCAGATCTTACCTTTTTGGTGGTTTCAAAAGAACTTAAAAAGTAGTAAATAAAATACAGTACAGATGCTCTTATCTTTCCCAATATCACTCTGATTATTCAATTTAAAAGGTATTTCCAGTTTTGAGCTATTGTGGATAAAGCTGCTATGAATATGGTGTACAGTTTTGGTTTGTTTTGTTTTATTGTTATTGTTTTGTTAATCTTCACCCAAGGATATTTTTTCCCATTGATTTTTAGAGAGAGTGGGAGGGAAATAGGGAGGGAGGGAGGGGGAGAGAGAGAGACAAAGATAAAGAGAAACATCGATGTAAGAGACACATCGATTTGTTGCCTCACACAAGTACCCTGGCTGGGGATTGAAACTGCAACCCAGGTATGTGCCCTTGCCTGGGAATCGAACCCAAGACCCTTTGATGTGCAGGCCGATGCTCCAACCACTAATCCACACTGACCAGGGCTATATAGGTTTTTGTTTGAACAGGTCTTCATTTTTCTGGGGTAAAAACCCAAGAGTGAAGCCCTAACCCAGCGGTTCTCAACCTGTGGGTCACAAACAATGAAAATACATCCTGCATATCAGATATTTACATTACGATTCATAACAGTAGCAAAATTAGAGTTATGAAGTAGCAACGAAAATAATTTTATGGTTGGGGGTCACCACAACATGAGGAACTGTATTAAAGGGTTGCGGCATTAGGAAGGTTGAGAACCGGTGCAACCAGTTTGGCTCAGTGGATAGAGCATCAGCCTGCGGACTGAAAGGTCCCAGGTTCGATTCCGGTCAAGGGCACGTACTTTGGTTGTGGGCACATCCCCAGTGGGAGGTGTGCAGGAGGCAGCTGATCGATGTTTCTCTCTCATTGAAGTTTCTAACTCTCTATCCCTCTGTAAAAAAATCAATAAACTATATTTAAAAACACACACACACACAAAAAAAAAACCAAGAGTGAAATTGCTGGGTCATATGGAGGCACCTGTTATTTTTGTAGGCAACCACTACATCTTTACCCAGAGTAATGTGTGAAAAAGCCAACATCCTCTCTGCGTCCTCTCTCCAGTATTGGTGTTATGCCTATTTCTTTTATTCTAGCCATTTTGGTAGGTGGATAGTGATATCTAACTGTGGCTTTACTTTGCATTTCCCTAATGGCTAACAATGTTGGACATCTTCTCATGAACTTATTTATTTGCCATCTGTATAACATCTCTGGTGACACAGACATCTTCTATTTTGACTGCTACAAGGTACTTCTCACTGCCTTCTTGATTCCCAGTGGATTGCAAGGTGAAATTATATAGCTTACAGATAAATGATGAGCTACTGTACTTGAGTGTTAACTGTATTCAAGAGAGGGTTCTGGGTATTAGGTGATAAAGCAGTGAAAGATAACAGACAAAAATCTTCGCTTTCATGAAGCTTATATTCTAGTGGAGGAGATGGCCGGTAAATAAAATAAGTCAAATTTATAGTATATTAGATGGTCTTAGTGCTTTAGGGAAAAAAAACAACACAGAAAAGGGAGATTGGCAGTTAACCTTAGTTGTAATTTAAAATAGGATGGTCAGGAAAGGCCACCTTTTCAGAGAGGAGACGTTTGAGTAAAGACGAAGTGAGGGGAAGCCTGTGGGTGTCTGGTAGGAGACTGTTCCTGGCCTTGAAGCAGGTGTGTTCTAGGAGCATCAAGGTGGCCAGGATAGCTGAGGAGTGAGGAGGAAGAGAGTGGGGCTGATGAGGTCAAACAGCATCGCAGAGGCTGACCATGAAGGGCCCAGGGCATGGGTAGGACTCGGCTTCTCCTTCAGGGAGATGGGGAGTCTCTGGACAGTGCAGGACAGAAGGGTGGTAAGTTCTGATTTCACTTCAAAAGGGTCATCCTGGCTGCTTTGCTTGGAGGAGAAGGGTGGAATCAGGGAGACGACTGCAATAGTCCAGGCGAGGCATGATGGTGGATTGGATAGGGTGGTGGGTGACAGCGAGGGTCACAAAAAATGAGAAAATTCTGGATATTTTTGATGTAGAGCAGACATAATTTTTTATCAAGCTGCATATGAGGTGAGAGAGGAAGCAAAATGTC